CTTTTCCGGCGGGTGCCTTACCTCCCTTGGGCTGGGCCAGCTGGTGGTCGGCCTGCTCCGTCTCTGCCGCTTGCCAGCTACGCCTCGGCCGGCGCAGGGGGCGGAACCACGCATGCGCGGCGCTCCCGGGCAGGGAAAGTCCTCGACTTACGACCGGTTGGGTAGTCCTCGACTTACGACTGGTTTAGTCCTCGACTTATGACCGGTTTGGTCCTTGACTTACGACTGGTTGGGGTCGCGGCATTAAAAAGGTTGAGAACAACTGCTGTAGTGGATCACTTCAAAATAAAAACTCTGCGGGCATTTGCAAAAACCGTCACTGGGAACTACGGCTCATGTTTTCTGAACCAGCTGCAACAAATCAGCTGCCCTAGATCAGAGTTCCCCAGCCTTTCTGGCTTTGTGGACCAGCGTGGTGGTGGTGGTGGTGGTGGGAGAAGGGATGGTTCTGCATAAGCCCATGCGCATGCAGCTCCATTTGCTGCACACGCAAATGGAGCATGTGTGCTTGTGTTTGTGTGCATGTGTTTGCCCACTGGTCGTGCAAGTAGGGATGCGTGCCTGCACGCACTCATCGCCGTTTCTGTGGCCCGGTTACAAACACCTCCTGGCCCACTAGTGGGCTGTGGCCCAGTGTGGTTGGGGACCCCTGCCTTAGATGCTTAACCCTTTCACAAGTTCAGGCTCCAGAAAAAAATTGGACTTTTGCTTTCTATTCTGAGCTAATTTGCAACTGGGGAAGAGGAAAAATAAATTCATCCCACAACAGACCCAGAAGCCACAACCTGAGATGGAAGTATTGCCAGGGCTCATTCTGAGTATACTTCCTTAGCAAAGCCAAGCTTTATCTTTTTAGCAGATTGTCTTCTATCTTTCTTTAGCTGGAGAGCTTCCAACTACAGCCAGTTCTGGGGGATGTCACTGGAAGAAGGGATTCGGTACCGTCTCGGCACCATCAAGCCTCCCACATCTGTGATGAATATGAATGAACTTCAAGTAAGGGCATTTCTCATTTTATGTATTTGTTAGACTTACTCTGCTTTTGAGACTCCAATTTGAGCTGCATTCTGCTTTGAAGTCACAAGGGTCCTTTATGTAACTACTAGGGCTCAGCCCCATTCCGGCCATCACCAATGCCATAAAGCAGTGATGGCGAACCATTTAGAGACCAAGTGCCCAAACCACAACCCAAAACCCATTTATTTATCGCAAAGTGCCAGGGCCGCATCAGCATTGTGGTGCCCTTGGGGGGCATAGGGGTGTGGCCCACTGGGTGGGCATGGCTGCGGTGGGCATGGCCACCTCGACGTTGCTCATGGGGGGGACACCTGTGAGGCCAGGCAGGGTTGGGGGAGATCCAGGGGGTCTCTGGCAGGTGGGGCAGTGAGCAGGAGGCCCAGCATAGATGGGAGAGAGGCACGCAATCCTAGCTGGGACTGGGGGGCCATGACGCCGATGGGGATCCAGCTTTCCCTGCTCAGGGTGGCCCGTGGCTTGCTGGGCGTGGGCGTGTTCTATCACCTCTACTCGAGCTTGATAACTGGCTGCTTCACCTCCTTTGTGCTGGGTGGGGCTGCTGCTCCGGGTGGCGGCGGCCTAATGGACCTGCGCAAGCGCGCATGCCCACTGAGAGGGCTCTGAGTGCTGCCTCTGGCACGCGTGCCATAGGTTCGCCACCATTGCCATAAAGTAATCTTCATAGGACACACATCTGCAGCCGATGGCATCACCTGGCCAACTTTGGATAACCTAAAAATGCTAAGCAAGATTGAGTAAACAGGAGACCACTGGAAAACCCTAGGGCTGTAGACCAGTGTTTCTCAACCTGAGCAACTTTAAGAGGGGTGGACTTCAACTCCCAGAACAAGAAGGAGAGGAGATAAACATTGGTTGATTAACACAACACTTTAGTGGTTATTGTGGGAATTCTAGGAACTGGGTCCCTTCAGTAAATCCAGTTTTGGTTTGCTGTGTTGTGTACCAAGAGCGCTCTTCAGTATTTTGAGTCCCTTGGAGGAAAAGTCGAATCTAAATGGAATATAGTAAATGTTTCACCCTATGTTTGTAGCAGTGATATCCAAGGACTTGGAAGTGTGTTGTTCCATTATGGTGACTTCTGGCATTTGACACAGTAGAATGGCCGGACTGTTGCACTGTACAAATGGAAGGGAACACACACACACACACACACACACGCACACACAGAGATACAAACACACCCCTTAGCTTTGGCATCTCTACAGAACTTGGAATGCTGGTTGAAATCTCTTGAATCAATAATAGAACTGGCAAGAAGGTCTGGAACAAAAATATCATGTTTTGGAATCTGTCCCATGATAGGGAAAAATGCTTTGAACGCTGAGATGTTTTGTAAGAGGCAGCCTCGGGCATCTGCGGCCACCCTTGCTGCTGCCTCGGGGTATGGAGATGTGCGTGGACTCGACTGCCTGTCCTCTTGCAACCTGCATTTTCACCAATAAAACTTGCTCAAAGTCCGGCTAAATCCTAAACAACTATTCTGAAAACTGTTATTGCTTTGAGAAATGGAAAAGAGGAAACGACAGTGTTGCTTGAACAGTATTTCTTTTTTACATAAGTTTTTATTATTTTTTTCATACAATTCAGTAGTACTTATTCAACAAACGTGTTGTCTGAGTTTCTTCTTCTTCTTCTTGTGCCCTATCCGTTATTGGACGTTGGCGATCATGTTGGCGATCCTGTTTTTATCAGCAGCCGCACGAAAAAGTGCTGCTGAGTTTTGTCCAAACCAGTCCCTTAGATTTTGAAGCCACGATGTTCTTCTTCTGCCTGGACCTCATTTGCCTTCCATCTTTCCCTGGAGGATTAAATGGAGTAGGCCGTATTTTTCTGGGTGTCGCATCACATGTCCGAAATACTCTAATTTTTGTTTTTCAATTGTTTTGATGATTTCCCTTGGCTTTCCCAGGCGGCTTATCACCTCCTCATTTCTGATCTTGTCAACCCAGGTTATACGCAACAGCCGCCTGTAAATCCACATTTCAAATGCTTCTAGTCTCTTCAGGTGGCCTTCTGTCAGAGACCGACTCTCTACTCCATAGAGCAGGATAGGAAAAATATAGCATCTGACAAGCCTGAGTTTATCATTCACTAATATAAATTTAATTCCTAATCTTTTATTCTTTTCTCCAGCCATTGATAAAATAAGTCCCAAATTTGAAAGTATTCTGTTTCTTCTTTTTCTTTCAACCTCAAAGCGAGTCTGTCCATTTCCGCACACTCTAGTATTTTTTTTTAATTATTTTTTCCTCTGGTGGTATTTCTTCATTTTTCCAGTGTTATGCAAATATGATTCTTGCTGCTGTTATTACATGTAGCGTCAAGTATATACTTTGTTTATCAATCCTTTCTGGCATTATGCCTAATAAAAAAAAAGTTCAGGTTTAAAATCTACATGTTTTCCCAACATCTTCTCTAGCCAAGTATGTATTTTTGTCCAATATCTCTTTGCTTTAACACATGCCCACCATACATGATAATAAGTACCTGACTTGTGTTTGCATTTCCAACATCTATCTGACATATTTTTGAACATTTTTGCTAATCTTGCCACCAGATCAGTATTTCTCAGCCTTGGCAAACTTTTAAGCCAGGTGGACTTCAACTCCCAGAATTCAATCGCATCGAATGTCCTATGACTCCTGGGAACATTGTTGTGCTTATTGGGTGACTCAGTCTCTTTCTGATTTCCTCTATTTCCTGCAGATCAACATGGCCACCAACGAAGTGCTGCCTGCCCATTTCAATGCTGCCGACAAGTGGTCTGGAATGATCCATGAGCCGCTCGATCAAGGCAACTGTGCGGGATCCTGGGCCTTTTCCACAGCAGGTAGCAACCCTTGGATGCAAAGGGGATAGTCATAGAATCATAGGAGTGGAAGGGACCTTAGAGGTCTTCTAGTCTAGCCCCCTGCCCAAGACAGGAGTCCTTATGCCATTTGGACAAATGACTGTCCAGTGTAAGTAGGGTAAGATGGTCTTCCACTGTGGTATGCAAGCTGTTGTCTACTTATATCCTCCAAACCTATTCCAACTTCATAGGCAATATGACCCCGGCCAATTGATGGCATGTTAGTTCTTTAAAGCATGAATTACTGGCGTTGGCCCTCAAAACGCAGCCAGTTCTCTCTTCAGTTGGCATGTATTTTACAATGATTGCAGGATTTCGGGTGGGTGGGTGGGTGGGTCAGGTGATTGCAGAGTTGGCTTCCAACAAGCAAAGTCATTGGGGGAAGCCAGATTGACACAATGAACCTGAGATTTACTGAACTGCAGCAATTCGCTTAACCAAAATGGTCATGAAATTGAGTTTGACTGGCTTGGCAACTGCCTTGCTGAACAACGGAAATTCTGGTTCCAGTTGTGGTCATAACCCGAGGACCACCTATACTCAGTCCATTTAGCTCCATATCATCCGCACAGGGGGTCAAACGACAGGACCCTCCATTTCTTTGGACTTGTTGACTTCAGTTCCAGGAGAATTTCTTCTTCCCACTTAACCTTGATCGGCTTCTGAAAATCTCTTAAGCACCTGCAGGGTCTAAAGCAGGGGTCTGCAACCTTGACAACTTTAAGACTTGTGGACTTCAGCATAGCTGGCTGAGGAATTCTGGGAGCGGAAGTCCACAAGTCTTAAAAGTGTTCAAGGTTGCAGACCCCTGCTCTAGAGATACGTAGGGATGTATTTTGCACCAACCTTCTCAAGATGATCTGATTCCTTTTTCTCATGCTTATGGGCTTGCCCTTAAATGTTTCTGTCCCTCTCTTCACTGGCCCTCAGTCCCCTTCTTCCCATTTTTCAGCCCATGATCTGCAGCTGGACAGTTGGATGCAAGCAACACAACAGGTTTCTAACCACAGGTTTCTTTTTTCTCTCCAGCGGTGGCCTCTGACCGGATCTCTATCCATTCCATGGGACACATGAGACCTGCCTTGTCCCCCCAGAACCTGTTGTCTTGCAACACTCGGCACCAACAAGGCTGCAATGGAGGCCGTGTGGACGGAGCCTGGTGGTTCCTGCGCAGGAAGGGGTGAGTGGCCAATGGTCCTTTTCTGCAAATGAGCTTGGGACAATTTGGACTTTCCCACAAGGCCAGCAACATGGGGATAGTGAAAGGCACTTTCATTTCCAAGGGTACAACCTACGATGATATTTGACTAGACTATTACTAGAACAAAGGAGATATTTCCAGACAGTGACAATAATTAATCAATGGAACAGCTTGCACCCCAGAGTTGTGGGTGCTCCATCACTGGAGATCTTCAAGAAAAGATTGGCCAGTTATTTGTCCGGGATGGCGTAAGGTTTCCTGCCTTGGGCAGGAGGTTGAACTAGAAGATCTACAAGGTCCGTTCCAACTCTTTTGTTCTTGTATGACAATCCTTGGTTTCCTGCAGAAGTTCAGGAGAAAGATGTTCAGGATACATTGGGTGGACAGCATATGATTCTATGAGTCAGTGGCTTTGTGTTAGTCAACAGTCTGGATCACATTTCTCTAGGAGGAGAGTTGGATTCAAGAAACACAACAAGGTGGGCAGCATATGACTCCATGGTTCTATGATTCAATGCCTTTGCGTTAGTCAACAGTCTGGATCACGTTTCTCCAGGTCGCTATTTGTCACCACCATCTTCAAGCAGGGCCAAGCTAGCTCATGAGCAGTTTGATCTTGGGAAGCGAGCCTGGGAGGGGGTCCTGAGTTCCAAGCCACCTCCAAACCATTCTCTTTTCTCCCTTGCGTCTTCTAGGGTGGTGACTGAGGAATGCTACCCGTTCACCAGCCAGGAGAGCTCCTTCACCAGCCCACCTTGCATGATGCACACCCGCTCCGCTGGCCGGGGAAAGAGACAAGCCACAGCACGTTGCCCCAACTCACAGACGGACTCCAATGATATTTACCAATCCACGCCTGCATATCGTCTCTCCTCAAATGTAAGTCCTGCCTTTTTTTCTTCTTCTGACTGTGCTGGCAAAGTTTGCGAGGAAGGGGTCAGGGTCTATGGCAGTGGTTCTCAACCTTTTTAATGCCGCGACCCCAACCGGTCGTAAGTCAAGGACTAAACCGGTCGTAAGTCGAGGACTACCCAACTGGTTGTAAGTCGAGGACTTTCCCTGCCCGGGAGCGCCGCGCATGCGTGATTCTGCCCCCTGCGCCGGCCGAGGCGTAGCTGGCAAGCGGCAGAGACGGAGCAGACCGACCACCAGATGGCCCAGCCCAAGGGAGGTAAGGCACCCGCTGGAAAAGGGGAAAAAATGGCGGACAAAAAAATGGCGGACAAAAATAATGGTGGACAGCCTTGCTTGGCGACCCCCATGAAATGGTCGATCGACCCCAAATGGGGTCCCGACCCACAGGTTGAGAACCACTGGTCTATGGGAAAGGGAAACAAATGTGTAGTGTCCCAGATAATCTTACGGACCCTGTTCAAGCAACGCTTCTGTGATATTACATATCAATTTTCAGTTTAACCAGGCATTCTCTAAATAAGATAACCTTTATTGTCATTTTTGCCATGGGCACACTGGCACACATTAAAAATGAAATTCTGTTGCCTGCTCTCAAAAGTGTACACGTACATAACACACATATAAACATGCTACTGTATATACAACATGTGTATAGACCTATACCCTTACATATAAATATGTAATGTGCAGTATTATAGCACACAGTTTGATCCTCTGACTCTAACCATAGGGACTGATGATGATGGACACTGGGGAGCACCAAGATAGAGAAATATGACAATAGGATCAACTTGACCCTTAAGTTGACGAGAACATAAGCTCCTCAACTAGGGGACCTCCTCGTTTAGGGAGAACCCATGAGAAAGGGACGATTGCTTTTGATTCTCTGTTGACCTAACATCTGCCTTTTCTTTGTAGGAGAAGGAGATCATGAAGGAGTTAATGGAAAATGGACCTCTGCAAGGTGAGGTGGACTCTCTGAAATACCCATCAGGGTGGGAAGTCACACCAAAGAGAAATGATATGTACTGGAAGGTGGTGGCTGAGTTGCCCGCTTTATTAGTATCTAATGTCTGCATTTTTTTTTGAAATGATTTATTTCCAGACTACTAAGAATCAGGAGATTGCTATGTAAACAATCTGTTGCAAGTTCCTCCGGTGTCAGTGAGCAGACCATGTCCCTCCCGAGACCGCATAAAAAAAATCAGGAGGTCTCTGCCCTAATGTTCACTGGGACATAATGGTTTTAAATTGGAAATAGTCCAGTTGCTGGAATTCTTGTAACCTATTGACCATCTCAATAAATCTTGCTAAAGAAAACTCCATGAGAATCGTGCATGGAAAGAATCTAAGAAAGTTAATTCCAGCAACATATTTTATTTTTTTTTGTACTTAGCCTATTTATTCCCATACAGACTTTCTAATTTTCTTCACAACAGCGTGCTTATGATCTGACGAAGTTATGCTCACTAATAATGGAGAGGTTTGCAGCTAGCTTTTTACGCAGCGGTCTCTCAAATCTTCAGCTGGTTAGGAAGCAACAATCCACTTTTCTGTTCTCAAGAAGGCCAAAGGAAATATCCTTGAATTGGTCTACAATAGAAGACAGAAAAGACAACATAATATAAAATAAATGAAGGAATCAAAGGAGATCTGTTTTTTTTTTAAAGGAGCCATTCTTAGCCACAGATAATTGACTATCATAGGATTCCCACAACATGCTGAAGCTTGAACCTGAGTGAACAAAGGCAGTGTTGTTGGGCTGTGAACAATGGCTGTGTTCACAGAATATGCAGTGACCAAAGAAAATGAACCATGTGGTGACTTAACATGAGGATCTGGTTCATATAGCAAGTTAAAATACAAGGTTGCTTCTCACAATTCATTCAGCGACAAACCTTTCACCTGGTCTAGCTGGTTGTAGGAATGTAAATTTTCTTTCCGATATGAAGGAATAAAGTATTTTGGCTGAAAAGTCAAACGTGAGTTTGATGGAAGCCATAAGGAGTTAGAAACATACCACTATAGCTTTCACAGCATAATTATTACAATAGCTGGCAGGAACTGATGATGTTGCCCTATCCACATTTAACCAGATTATTTAATCTAGCAGTTTCATTCAAGTGTGGATAGCTTTCATCTTGGTTAACTTGATCCAGTTTAGCTACTTGTATGAACACATTGAGGGTTCAATGACCAGGTGCCTTCCGCCAATTTGGCTAGTCTAAAGAAAAGAAGAAATAGGGGACACGTGATAGCAGTATTCCATTATTTGAGGGGCTGCCACCAAGAAGAGGGGGTCACGTAATTCAACAAAGCACCAGAGGGCAGGAAAAGAAACAATGGTTGGAAACTGATCAAGGAGAGAAGCAACCTGGAATTAAGGAGAAACTTCCTGACAGTGAGGAAAATTAACCAGTGGAACAGCTTCCTGTCAGAAATCGTGGGCACTCCATCACTGGAGATTGTTAAGAAGAGGCTAGACAGTCACTTGTCTGAGATGGTATAGGTCCTCCTGTTTGAGCAGGGGGCTGGACTAGAAGATCTCCAAGGTCCCTTCCAGCTCCTATTCTATTCTATTCTATTCTATTCTATTCTATTCTATTCTATTCTATTCTATTCTATTCTACTCTACTCTACTCTACTCTACTCTACTCTACTCCTATCTACTCTACTCTACTCTACTCTACTCTACTCTACTCTACTCTACTCTACTCTACTCTATTCTATTCTATTCTATTCTATTCTATTCTATTCTATTCTTCTAGAAAGTGGGTAAATTCAGTCAGTCTGAAGTGAGTGGCGAGTTTGCCTTTGACCCACAAAGCTTCTTCCACACCAGTTTTAAGCAGGATGGGCAAGAAAGTGGTGGCGCCTAGCAAAGCTTGGTTGAGCTCAAAATTAACCAGGATTTAACTGGTTATCATTTCAATGGGGAATGGAAAATACCAGGGCTGTCTTCCAAGGAAATAGCAAGGAAACCCAAAGAACAAAAACTCCAGGAAGACAGTAATAACATTTCCATAATGTTATTAAAAACTTGTGTGGACATGTCCAGGAGGTCACCAGGAAAAGGAAAATGAGCAACACTGTCTCGGGACAATAATGTGCAGCCTTGGTAGTCCAGGCCAAAAATTAATCAGGAAACAGCCCAGACTTGCTTCCAAAAAACTCTCAGGGTTAAATGCCACGGCGGCCCCCAACCTTTTGGGTACCAGGGACCAGTTTGGTCTAGAGAGATTTTTCCGCGGACCAGAGGGGGTGTGGTTTTGCATGCTGCCTGCATTCCACAGATGGGGCTTCACTTGCTTGCACGGTCCCATTGCTAGCATGCCATGGACCGGTGCTGGTCCACAGACCGGGGGGTTGGGGACCCCTGCCTAAGGTGCAGTTATGGCTGATCTTCAGAAGCTTGGCGGTGGTTCATCTTGAGAGGGCTAAACTCTGCTCTTCAGCTTTCTACAACTGCATAAATGAAGAGTGCAAAATGTGTCTGGTCAAGTGTCATTATGCTTGTTTAGCTTGATGGGGAAGGCAGGAAAGCACAACTGCCATCAGCAGGCCAAGTTTCTTGATCATAAGAAGGGCCTTCTTGGTTCCACCTTCTGTACCAGCAATAGGGGTCTTTGGTGCTCTCTGAGCTTGCTTGTTTTCTTGCAGACATTTCATTACCCAACTAGGTAACAGCACTAATCAGGTTAATGAAACGTCTGCAAGAAAACAAGCAAGCTCAGAGAGCACCAAGGACCCTTCATTTCTACCCTGAGCTACAAATATTTTCTTTCATTGGTACAACAAAGTTTCTGTATGTCATGAGCTTGTGCATCGTCCTCTTTGTTGCAAGAAGTATAGACATTGGTTGGAGAATTCAATGAGCTCTTTCTGTTCAGCTCTAGACTTAACTTTTGTAGTGTGGTAGTTGCGTTATGAGGAATGGAGTGTTCACCTCAGACTCTTTCCTAGCCTAGATTTACAGTTGACCTCCTTTCCATTCCTCTGCAGCCATCATGGAAGTGCATGAAGACTTCTTTGTGTATCAGAGTGGGATTTACCAGCATACTCCTGTAGCAGCTGGGAAGCCAGAACAGTACCGACGACATGGTACCCATTCCGTCAAAATTACTGGGTGAGTGAGATCACTGGAAATCAATTGAGAAACCCAAATCCAAGGTGTTCCTTTGTGAGTGAATACTTTGTCTAATGAGAAATGTGAAAGTTGTGTTTGTTTTGGCACGGTGGTTCCAGCAGTAGATAACAGGGTGAGGAAAACTGAAAACTATAGGTAGTCCTTTCCGTTAAGAAAAGGCTAGAAAGTTTGGGATCCTTCCACTTGGAAAAAAGTCAACTGAAGATTGAAATGGGTCAAGTCATGTACGGCATGGAGTAAAAACATAAGGCGAAGTTTTCATCCATTTTTCTCATTACTCAGACTGAGAATCAGCCGGTAATGCTGATTTCAGACAGGCAAAATAAATAACTTCCTCTTACACAGCACACCATTAGTCTGAGAGATGTGTTCCTCTATTGCCTTTTCTGTATGACAAGTTGACAACTGAAAGTAAAACCACTTATTTATCCCTCACTCCTCTATGTTCCTGGTCACCATGATGAATTTATCTCAACCTGTTCATTTTAGATAGCTACTGTCAGTGCTTTTTTTGTAAGAAAAAAGGTGCCGGAACTCACATCTTATTAATCTTTTATTTACCTTTCGCACGTAGTCAATCACTGTACACACACCCACAAACGTCAGTTTTGTAACNTCTCTCTCTCTCTCTCTCTCTCTCTCTCTCTCTCTCTCTCTCTCTCTCTCTCTCTCTCTCTCTCTCTCTCTCTCTCTCTCTCCATCCATCCATCCATCCATCCATCCATCCATCCATCCATCCATCCATCCATCCTATTAACCACCCATCTTCCTTAGAGAAGCTCATAAATTAAGGATTACCTGTATTTATTAGTAGAATTTATATGCAACTGAACTTGCTGAAAATGATTACATTGTAAGGGGACACAGTAAAATGGTTGGGCCCCTGATCACAAATTATTCCAGAATTCTCACTTGAGACTCAAATTTTCCTCGTTTGAACACATTACGTGAAGTCCTAGGTCTCTGGAGAAGTCAGTCATTCTGGAAAAGGTAGAAGGAAAGAGGAAAAAATTGATGATCGGCAGCAAGATGGATGGACTTTATTATAGGGTTGATGGGTACAATGTTGGAAGGTCTGAAGGACCAGAATTGGGGACAGATTGTCATGAAGAAAACCCACGTAACTGCTAGAGTTTGAAGCTGTGAAGATGGCACATTGTCAATATCTTCCGTTGAGTCTGCGTTTCTTTTTAATTTTTGTGTTCTATGTTCATTCTGGTTTCTTTCCCATGTTTCCATGTATAGTTTTCAAAAATCCTAAGATCCATCCTGAGAAGACTAGATTGCCTACTTTCTCTTTTTCCCATGATTGTCTTCTCCATCTTGCAACCTTACAGATGTGTTAGCAGTTGAACAAATGCTTTGTTTGGTTTGTTTTTTTTTAACCACAGATGGGGAGAAGAACGGAAGCTGGATGGGTCAAATCGGAAATATTGGGTGAGTGCCACCAAGGACGAGAGTAGATGTATTTCTTCTGTCAATAAGTTCACAATATCATGCTTCAACACAATTCACTTAACCAGGTCAGCCAGAGGTTTCCATCTAGATCCGTGTTTCTCAATCTTGGTAACTTTAAGCCACGTGGACTTCAACTCCCAGAATCCTCACCCAGCACAGGCAATTCTAAGAATTCTGGGAGTTGAGGGCCATACATCTGGAAATTATTACACTTCTGAAAAAAATCTGGCCTATTATCCTAACTGGATTCCCTTAGCGACCAGAACTTGTTCTTAGCTTCAACTTATGACTGGTTGCTTAGCGACTGTTCAAAGATACTATGGACCATTACATACTGGTCCCAGTATCTACAAATCAAGGTAATTACACAAATCAAGGTAATGGCTTGATGAGATCATCACACACACATGCTATTATGTGTTTCTTCCTTGCTCCTCTTACTCAAGACCCCCCAGCTGAGATGACATCCAGCACCTTCGGCATCATTCTTGTTGTTGTTCAGTCGCTAAGGCACGTCCAACTCTTTGTGACCCCATGGACCATAGCATGCCAGCCTCTCCTGTCCTCTCCTGTCTCCTGCAGCTTGCCCAAATTCATGTTCATAGACACAATGCTGCACTAGTTTATTTATTTATTTTATTTATATCCTGCCTTTATTATTTTGACCAATAACTCAAGAGGGCAAGCATACCCAACACATCTTTCTCCTCTGTCAGGTGAGTTGGGCTGAGAGAGATGGACTGGCCTAAAGCCACCCAACTGAACTCCATAGCTAAGGTGGGACTAAAACTCACAGTCTGCTGCTTCCTATCCTGCTGCCTTAACCACTAGGTCAAACTCGCTCTCACCAGTGACCAATGTTCCCTGGTGACCTGTGCTCCAGGGTTGTCATAAGCATTTTAAAAAGTCTAGAAAAGTCTACAACTCCAATATTAGACAAGCAGCAATGTTCTTCTGTTGGAAACCCCTTTTCATAGCCTATTCTATCCCTGTCTTCAGATTGCAGCCAACTCCTGGGGCAAGGCATGGGGTGAGCACGGCTACTTCCGCATTGCCAGAGGGACCAATGAGTGCGAGATTGAATCCTTCGTGGTGGGTGTCTGGGGCCGGGTTGGAATGGAAGATATGCACCACCACAAGAAATGAGGAGATTGGATCCTTCAGCCTTGCATTATGATACCAAGAAGAACTTCTTTCCTTCTGTTGGCCCTATGTTTTCTTCTCCTCCTCAAAGCATCTGGTATCTAGAACAGTCACAGAACGTAACGACTATGGGTTTGGCCTCCAAAGACAGCAGCCTTTGTCTTTGTTCTGGGGAAGCCTAGAACCATCATGTGGATTTTGGACCCAGAAAATCCTTCCTCAGATGGTGGGGGGAAAACCCAGAGAACTTCTGAAATGACTACCAAAATGCCTACAGTTTCTTGAAAGGGACCAAGAGAAGACACCCAATTTTGTTCTGCATGGCTCAGATGCTCACAACCAGAGTGATCCTGGAGATATCAGAAGCAAACCTTGCCAGGATTCTCTACCAAGGATGGAAAGTTGATCTGAAGTAACTTTCTGACTGGGAGACCAACCAACATTTTTGGTTGTTTTTTTTTAGTGCTTTCTGTGATTCCACTTGACAGAACTTTCTTGGAAGTGATGCCATCTCTGGTCTGACCTTCCCCAGAGGCAACCATGGTAAAATAAAAAGGACCAAATTTTTAAACATCTCAGGTAGTACATCTACAGACGAGTGGATTTCTAATCCTAGCAGGCATGTGTGTAGCAATGGCCGCTGTCTCCAAAATGGCGGGCACAACCAGATAAAAGTAACCTTGCCTCATTTTACGTGTCCGCAACATGTCCCAAGATTCTCAAGAATAGCTATGTAGGCTGAAATCGACCCATTTGGAGAGAGGCCAGATTGGGGGAGGCAGGCTTGGTTTTGATTCCCCGCCATCGTGTAACAAGTTCTTTCTTACCCATCTTATCTTAGAACCTAGAATCACAGAGCTGGAA